TGGCTGAAGGTTGAAGGCTTGGCTATAAAAAGCTTGTATTTGTTGTATTAGGGTTCAAAATCGATGATACAGCCTGAAATTACTGACATTTTTACTGATTTGATGCCATCTTGTTTCAAACATACAGTGAAACTTCCCATAAATAACAGAAATCTCCTCAGATGTGATGTGTCACCATGAAGAACAATCTAACACTCAAAAATATAATCACAAGATGCAAAACAATCAACCATATTCAGGTTGTTGCTTCTTCTTCAACTTGTAACAGCTCTGCCTGTTACATCTAAATGTTTTCATGCACTACCTGAAAAGAGAAATGACAAAAACAACTCCGAAACCACATTTGTCCTGAAAGAAATATAATTTCTTGTAGCAGTAAATTCAAGTGGCCACTTCACTGTGAAATGTTGAGACCCTGCCTGGAGTAGCAGACATCACACAACCTCCATTTAGCCAAAGAAAAGTGCCTAATTAACCTGAACACCACTCCACCATGTTTTTCATTTTCCTGCAAGAGATCAGAATAATACAAGGAGAATGGGAGCGTCAGCCCAGTGTGGATGAAGTGTGATCTTCCTCAAGAAGACCCCCAAACAGAGGCTATGACACAGGTCCCTCAAGTGTTGCACTCTGGAGCTGATGGTGGCATTCACTCCTAATCATCTTCATCAATAGTGTCGAAGAGGAGGCCATTAAACAGACCATACAGAGCCCTGGAGTGAGGCGCTCTGGTGGAGAGGCGATAATTGGATAATTAGTGCTGGGAACCAATTAGGGCTCAGTGCTTGTGATGGCACGCGAGTTAAGCAAAGGTTAGCAGGGAGATGGGGATGACGGTGGGGGGTTGAGGGGGCTGATCGATTATCTTAGACCCCTCTCTCTCACACACACAAACACACTACACATTCCTCCTTTCTCCCCCTCCTGCTCTCTCCTTCCAGCGCTTATCTGACGGACAAAAGAGACCAAATCGCCTATTTCCATCTGAATGAGATAAGCCCCGACAAGAGGCACGGATCGGCCGAGCGGCTTCAGACCCCAAATACCCGGCGATCACTAGAGCAAATGGGCGCACAATGGAGGAGAGAAGAAAAGAAAAAAAGAGGAGGGGGGGGCTCGAAAGATATATTTATATATGTTAAAGAAAATGCTAATATGTCTCGTGAAGAATAGAGGGGATTTTGGAGACTCTCCCTAATTCTGCTTTTGTTGAACTCGCGTGCAGACGGGCGAGAGTGACACGGTGATCACGTGAGAATACTCTCTTTCTTAGGTGTGTGAGTGTGTGTCCCTCACATGACAGACTTGTATTAGGGGGATGGTTTGAATGCAGGAGCCCGTCAGACATCGGACAAGAAAGTCTCCCTTGTTTTCTGGGATGCACACGCACGCGCACGTGCGGAGTTTTTAATCCTTGAGGCGAGACTGAATGTATAGTGTAATGTGTCTTTGATAGCTTTGTGATTGAGTGTGTGTGAGTGAATGCTGACAGTGTGAGAATAGCTCCAGACTGATGAGAACATAAAGAAACGAAAACACGCGGATTCTCACAGCAGAGGTCACGTGATCATTATTGTCACAGAGGGGGAATAAACCTCCAGTAGGTTTAGTTTGGACGAAATGAGTTTCTCACAAAGATCCAGGGAGGGGATGTTGAAGATGTATGAAGATGTCTCCATACAGAGCTGCAGTGCTCTGTTTGTGCATGCATCCTTTCATAACATCTTTGTAGTGTTATCAGCTGCATGTCTCTACTTTACAGTTTGATAACACTTATTAAGAATCTATCTAATGGATTGTGTGACAATTGTGTGCCTGGAAAAGGTCTTCTGACTCAGACTTTTATTGTGGAAAGGACAAAAAAAAAAAAAAAACATTTAACAAATGAAATATACCACCATGGAGGTGTCCAGATTTTTGGCCTTATCACTGAGAATGGCAGGTGTGGCCAGGGTATGAAACCCCACAGCATTTACCCTGTCTGCCTTTGCTAACTATTGGAAATAGTTTAATTGACTTTATTTGCTCGCAAAAGAAGAGTCATAAAGAGAAAAAAGTGAACAAATAGAAGTCATTTGAGCAGGTAAAGTAGAAACCCAGTAAAAAGCTTATCTCATGACTTTACAAAGTAAATATGAAATAACTCAGATTTAGGTTGCCTAGTAAAAGCATGAAGCAAAACAACGAATACTATTTACTATCTGTTATCTACCATCAATAAAGTACCTCAGAGTTGTAATTATTATGTACATTTTTCGTCTTACTGGCATTAGGAGCCTGTTGCAACACAGCTCAGATAGTTGATTTTAACATAAACCCTGCCCTTGACAAGGCAAACAGCCAAATCTAAAGATTAGCCCTAGGATTTTGGGATGGCACCTGGGAGAGCCGATCAGATTTTAAAGGGCCCAGTGCCATCCTTGGCCAACGCTCTGAACACATCCCAGCATCTAACAATAATTCAGTTTAAACTGAAAATAACCCCAAAATAAGTGTGTCACTATGAGTAGAAGTTATGAAGCAACTGAACTTTTGCCTCTTCAACTGTTGAAGCATGATGTCACAGCAAAAGGTGTATCTAGAGGAATCGCTTATAGGAATACTGGCAGAAGAAGCACGAATTAAATTTGAGCTGCAAGCGACACTGAAAATGCTCTTGCACATTCACAGATGTTGAGGTTCGTGTTGGGATTCACAGTGTGAGGCAATGTTCGTAGCTTAAGTCCTTTTTCTGTTTAAAAACAGTCAGAATGTCAATGAAGGGTTGTGTTACACCACTGTGTGAGACTTTTCTTAAAACCTACCAAATCATGTCACTCAAGCCCTATTTCTTGCTAGTAGGTGGCGCTAAGATAAACACACATTAATGTAAAATAAACACAAGGAAGAACGACAAAAAGAAATCCTCTTATTATGAATGAGAAGGAACTGGTTCCTGAAAGACTCTTCCCAGTAACCTGGCCAAAAATTAAAGCTCCTTTGCTCATCTGGTTCTCAAGTGTAAGTAATGTTTCCAATTAAAAAAAGTCAATTGTATCTTACTTAGAACATTTAGGAAATATTCAAAGAGGTTTAATTATGATCAGACAACTACCCGCCTTCACAATGATTATAAGCATCTAAAATTACAAGATGAAAATAAAACTATGTTGCTAACTATCACTTTCATCTCAGCCTACTTCAGTTGAAAATCCCTAACAGAAGCTTTAATTTGTTAGGATACTGCATAGAAGCTCTTGTTCAAATCAAGCTGGACACTCCTATTGGTTATCTTAAGTATCTTAAGGACAAGGGGGGACTCCACCGCTCTATAACAGATGTTACACTAAAAAAACTGACACAGCCACTGTCTCTCAGTTGTTAAATGGTCATGCAGCTCACAACCTGGTAACCCCAAATATCTTCATACCTCTTCTGTACATTTATATATTAATGATTCAGTATCATTAAAGTTAAAGGATTATAAACTAATTTTATAAGGGAATCATTTAAAAGGATTATTTTGTTTTAATCAGTAGTCCTCTGTTGTCCCACATTAATCTCAGTATTAAGTCTTCTTAAACCCAGGACAGGCCTGACTGTGTCTAACTCTGCAAGCTGCCTGACACCGTGTTGTCTATTCAGGTGTCTCCTCTCTGACTTTCTGTGGCAGATGGGTTCTTTATAGAACATGCCAACTGATATTAGCTTCTACGGCAAGTGTTGCCCCTGAACAAGTGAGAGTGAGGGGGGTGGAGGGAGGGGGAGAGAAAGCGAGAGTGCGTCTTGTGGGAAGAATGAGAAAATCTCTTAAAGAGCCGTGACGGGGCCCCGGCCGCTCTCTAAATGTATTTTAATAGCAGGGACCCTGATGTCGGGGCCAATTCATCTCCCTTCTCCCTGTAATGAAAAGAGTCGTGGCCGGGGCCGGGGCAGGTCCGGGGGAGGGGGTGAGGAGGAGCGATGGTACAAAGGCTGCATGTGGCTCTGCCTCATTATGCTGCAGTTAGGCAGAGGCCTGCATGGAGGCAGCGGGGGTGAGGGTCCCCACAGACCGGCTCAGGGGCCACAATGCCGGCATGGACGGCTGCAAAGGGAGACCCTGCCACGCCATTATCCCTCCGCTGCTAACGAGGGCTTCATACGCCTTTGATATAATCTCACCATTGAAACCCTGATAAATCCCCCCTGCGTCTGCAGCGAAATCCCATTTGTAACGGCTACGTGTATGACAGTGTGAGCGCGCGCATGACCGCCTCCGTGAGTGTGTGTGTGCGAGTCGACTTCACCTGTTCTGTTCTGGCAGCCGAGGCCAGCCAGAGTCTCATGTCAAACCGGGCCGTTACACAGGCTTTAATTAAAAAATCCCCTATATCTCTCTCGTGCGCACAAGACATCTCGTGAGCCGATCAGAGCAGGGGCTGAATTAGAATAAGATCAATGTTTAAGTGGATATCCTTCTTCTTCCAACCCAGATATGATCTGATAGGCAAACAATTACTGGATTACATCACACTGGGGAGATGAATAATAGAAGACAGAGCAAATTTATGGCATTTATCAATGAGAATAAAATGACGCTATTACCACCAGTTACACCACATTCCTGCCATTATTCTGCGTGTTGCTGCCTCAGCACTCTGAGCTCCATCATGAGTCCATTATAAGAAATCTTATCTCTCTCTCTGTGTGTGTCTGTGTGTGAGTGGATCAGGGAGCCCCGAGGTTGGAAGAAAAGCACAAATCACGTCAGATTCGCGCGTGCTTGAAGTTATGTCTCGATCAGAGGTGGGGAGGTCACTGGGACAGCTCAGCCTCACTCTCACGGTTGGACTCCAGAGAAGGACACGCGCTCAGGGATCCAACCGATCAGTGTGTGAGCATAAATCTCTTTACACTCTGAGTACTCCTATAGCATCCTGAGCAGATACTCCTATTCAAATGCTTTGTCCTCTAGCTCAGGGACACTGCGCATCTCTGTGCTCCCACATGTGCCGGTGCGCAGACTCATTTAACAGCCCGAGGAACATAAACAAGCAACGGAAACTATAGTATTAAATCAAGCCGCGCGTTTAGCCCATATATTGGGTGCCAAGTTTCTGCGCACAGTCCAGGAATCTCTAAACAGGGTTTAGAGGTCTTTCTGAAGTCCCCCTTTTTCCCCCTCTGAAGCCCGGATTGGTCACAGTGCGGCTCATTTGCATGCCTCGCCGTATAAACCCTCCTGCAGACACTGCAGCCCTCTTGCGCTGAGAGCAGCACACCTCCAGTAGAGAGAGAGAGAGAGAGAGAGCGGAGCGCATCAGAGTGCGCATTGAGAGACATATGGAATATTTATTACTGGCTTTGTACAGAAAATAAAGAAGCAGGAGAGTGGACACAGACAGGAGAGGAGAGACTTTTCAGGTGCTTTTTGAGAAACTTTTCACTGGACTCAGATTGGGCAGTTTCTTGAATTTCACAATATTTTGGAGTGAAGGTGTAAAGATGGGAGGAAAAGGGTGGAACGGGCGGCTGGTGCTGGTGTGCGTCTCTTTGGCGAGCCTGGCCGTTCTAACAAGAGCAAAGACGGTGAAATATCAGACATTTGAGGAGGACGCACCGGGGACAGTGATAGGAAACTTGGCCAAGGACATCTCTTCCTCAGCCTCCTCCTTGGGAAGCTCCAGGAACAATTTCAGGATGATGAAACAGTTCAACTCGTCTTTTATCCGGCTGAGGGAGAGCGACGGACAGCTGAGCATCGGGGAGCGAATAGACCGGGAGCGAATCTGCAAACACACCCTGCACTGCCTCATCTCTTTTGATGTGGTCAGCTTCTCCAAAGAGCAGTTCAAACTCATCCACGTCGAGGTGGAGGTCAAGGACATTAACGACAACTCCCCCGAGTTCCCCCGGAAAGAGTCGAGCATGGAGATCTCAGAGAACACGGCGGTGGGCACGCGGATCCCGCTGGACTTCGCTGTGGATGATGATGTTGGAGTGAACTACATCCAAAGCTACCAGATCTCCGTCAACAGCCACTTTTCCATCGACGTGCTCAGCAGGGCCGACGGGGTTAAATATGCGGAGCTGGTGCTCATGAAGGAGCTGGACCGGGAGACGCAGGCTTCTTACGCGCTCGAGCTGGTTGCCATGGATGGTGGCAACCCGTCCCGCACCGGAACCACGCGCATAAACATCAAGGTGAAAGACTACAATGACAACAGCCCTGTGTTTGACCGGAACAGCTTCTCCGTGGACCTGCCCGAAGATGCTCCGGTGGGCACCCTGCTGCTGGACCTGAACGCGGAGGACCCGGACGAGGGTCTGAACGGGGAGGTGGTGTACGGGTTCGGGAACCAGGTGCCCACAGAGATCCGACAACTCTTCAGAGTGGACCGAAAGACCGGGAGGCTCACCCTGGAGAGCCCGATTGACTTTGAAAGTAAGAACACGTATGAGTTTGACGTCCAGGCCACCGACCTGGGTCCGAACCCGAGCCCGGCCATCTGCAAAATTGTGGTGCAGGTTCAGGATGTTAACGACAACGCACCTGAGATCTCCATCACCCCCATGACATCCATCACAGCCGGGATCGCGTACATCACCGAGGCGGCAGCCAGAGAGAGCTTTGTGGCACTGGTCAGCACCTCGGACAGAGACTCTGGCGCGAACGGGCAAGTCCACTGCACGCTGTACGGACACGACCACTTCAGACTGCAGCAGGCGTACGAGGACAGCTTCATGATAGTGAGCACGAGTCCGCTAGACCGGGAGAAAATCCCGGAGTACAACCTGACAGTGGTGGCGGAGGATCTGGGCTCACCCCCCTTTCGGACCATCACCCAGTACACCATCAGACTCACGGACGAGAACGACAACGCGCCGGTGTTCAGCAAACCAGTGTACGAGGTGGCAGTGGTGGAAAACAACGCACCAGGCGCGTACATCACCACGGTGGTGGCGCGCGACATGGATTTGGGGTCAAACGGGAAGGTCAGCTACAAACTGGCGGACACATACTTTATGGGCTCCCCAATCTCCACCTTTGTGTCTCTGGACCCCGCCAGCGGCTCCCTGTACGCGCTGCGGAGCTTCAACTACGAGGTGGTGAAGCAGCTGGAGCTCCGCATCACGGCCAGTGATGGAGGCTCCCCGCCTCTGTCCGGGAGCGCTAGCGTCTATGTGAGGGTCGTGGACCAGAATGATAACGCTCCGGTCATTACTCAGCCTCCGCTCAACAACGGCTCCGCTGAAGTCCTACTGCCCCGGGACGCACCGAGCGGCTACGTCATCACGCGGGTGGAGGCGCGGGACGCAGATGAGGGGGTTAACGCGGAGCTGTCCTACGGGCTGGCCACCGGTGAACCCTCCGTGTTCTCTGTTAACAAAGCCACGGGGGAGATCTACCTGAACCAGGTGCTCAGCCACGACGTGGATGAGACCCTGAGCGTGACCGTAACGGTCAGTGACAACGGGAGGCCCGCGCTCACCTCCACAGCCACGCTTCACTTCCTAATCATCGCAGGTTCCCCGCCGAGCGACAGGACCGTGTACCAGGCGGGCAGTGGGGACGAGACGCACGCGCAGTGGGACCTGTCCGTGGTGATTATCGTCGTGCTGGCAGGGAGCTGCACCCTCCTGCTGCTCGCCATCATCCTCATCGCCACCACCTGCAACAGACGCAAGCGGGACAAGAGCGGAGAAGACAGCGACTCGTACGGGGAGAAAGGCACGCTGGAAAGGGGCAGGAATCACGTGGCGGACAACCCACTGCTGCCTCTGCACGCGGGGGGAACAGGGGTTACAGGAGGCTTTGATGGACACTCGTACAGCAGTCAGGCCGGAGGGTTCACCCCAGCTCACCCCGGGGGCAGCGACATGTGCTCAGCCTCAGAAGACGGCAGTGAAGTGCCCTGCGTGTACGACTCCGACTCCAACAACAAGCCTCGAAGCAACAAACACGAGGTGAGATGCACATTTGGGACATCAAGAAGGGTGGGGAGGGGCGACGTGGCACTTTGTTTTTACCCAGCAGACATTAACCTGTATTTTCTCTCTCCTCTTGCAGGGATACTCCACTCTGCCTGGTTATGGGAACGGAAAAGAGGCAGTGAGACCCATCACTATCTGGAAAGGGAACTCTTACACCACCATCTCCGCCCGGGACCCCGCCTTCAGTGGGAAAGACAGCGGGAAGGGAGACAGTGACTTCAATGACAGCGACAGTGATGTCAGTGGAGACACCCACCTGAAGAAAGATGGAGTTGTTGTCCCTCCGATGGGCGGCCAAAATGGTAAGAAAACCACCCTTTCAAAATAAAACACCTTCATGAAATTGTGCCTTTTGGTTCAAAATTAAGCCCCTTCTTCCTTCTTCTTTTAGCTTTGTGGGCGTGCACCAGTGAATGTAAGGTCCTGGGTCACTCAGATCGCTGCTGGAGCCCCTCAGCCGTCAGAGCCAACGCAGCCCCCTCTCCAGCCCCCACCCTCTCCTCCTTCAGCAGCCTCTCCAAGACCGCCTCTCTGCCCCGGGACCCCCACCGCAGGGACAACTACTACCAGGCCCACATCCCCAAAACAGTGGGCCTGCAGAGCGTGTATGAGAAAGTGCTGCACAGGGAGTACGACTACGTGATGGTGACCCCACCCCGACCTGTGAGGGTGCAGGAGATCAGTGAAGTGACCCTGCCTGTGTACACCCCCACCCCTACACACTGTCCCAACAATGAGAGTGTGTGAAACTGACTCTGCACAAACACTTGAGCTCTGCACTCTCAAAGAAATGTATAAAGTTTAATTTATGATCCAAGACAATGAGAATAATGTAAGATTTTGTTACAGTGGAGAGTGTGCATCCAAAACTTTGATCTCCTTCTATTATTGTGTTTCTGTTTGATTGTAAAAGCCACATTTGATGTCCATTCAATCACTTTATGGGACATTTTGCTGGACATGAAGTGTATTATATGCAAGTTTTGTACATACAGAGATTTTATTTTTTATAAAAGTAATAATTAAACAAAGATATGTAAATATAAATTGTAATTATTGATCTTTACGCACGCTGATTATTTAAAAATTGCCCCGGAAACTGTGCAGTTTGAAGGGCGGGAGACCCACAATGTATCAAGTTGATAACTGATGTATGGATTTATTTGAATGCAATAATAATTAATTGTACAGATTCTTTTCTATGATCACGGTATTCTGAGAGGAAATAAACTTTGAAATACTGTTCTGAAAACTGGGTTCGTGTGTTTTTGTGAGGAAATTCAGCTGCAGGTGAGCCGAGCAGCATCTTTGTGCTGAGACATCAGACAGGTAGGCACGAGTCAGAGCCAACAGGCGTCGCTGTTAGTGCAGTAGAGACGGAGTCCGTCCTTGCAGCCCACCGGAGAAGGTCAGTTAATTTTTTCTTCAGAGAACATGATTTTTTTGGTGAGATGCCAGAACAGTCTCCAAGGTTGTCCAGCAAATCTCTCTGTCTCTTCTTGCATATCAAAAAGAATCCTTCGCCTCTTTTCTCCCCTCAGTTTCACAAACTTGATGAATGCATTTTCTGGCTACAGACCCATGTGTTAGAAGACAATGAAAGCGTTGCGAAGGACCCTGCAGCATAACTCTTTCCTGGCATAAACATGCGCAAAAAAGGCGCACATTATGAGTGTCTGTGCGTAAAGACGCAAATCCAGTTCGCCTCCAAAACAGCTTACAAGCAGGAGACGGAGTTTAACCGAGGATAAGTCTGATAGGCATCCTCACTCAGTGATTCTTGTCAAAGAACATGAAGTCCTTGTGAGCAAATCCTCCTGCTTTCCTGTCAGGATGTTTTTTGTCGATCTGCCAAATGTGCACGCTGCGCCCCCTTACGTAATCTCCCATTATCATTCATGGATTGAGGGCATTTTTTCAGATCAGAAACTCCACTCTGGAGTCTGAAATGGAGAAATAAGAGGCAGGCCTGAACAATAAGATGCGGCTTTTGCGCACAGTCATGTAAAATATACTGTCTGCCATCTGGAGACAACACGCGACA